TAAAAAAAAAAGACAAGTGAGAAAGCTCTACCACGTAGGTATTACAGAAGCTCTCGTGGTAAGGGAGATTTAAAAAGTTTAAGGTTTAATATACTGGATATTACCTATACATGTTTCAAGTTGCAGCAATAAATTTAAGTAGTACGTATGTATGGATGAGAACATTTAAGATGGCGCCTTTTTCCTCTTCCCCCCCCCCAAAAAAAAACATTATCCATTACTTACTTACTTACTTACTTACTTACTTACTTACTTACTTACTTACTTACTTACTTACTCACTCACTCAGTTTCGTACCGGTACGCATTAGAGTTCAAAAAATTTAATTTTGACACTAATTTTATAATTTTCGGAACTTTTTGACTTTGTTTACCCCGCGAAACGATGAGAACTCAGCACCATTTCTCCACCTTGTTACTTACTTAGGTATTGATATTTTAATACTTATGAACTACCAAAAACCCTCAAAAACACTTGATAATACTAACTATGAGATAGGCAAAAACCTGCTCTCTTAAATTCTTGGGGTCTACCAAGACCACATATATGTCCAAAAACTTAGTCTATAAGTTTTAAAAAAAAGAAACAAAAAATAACGCCTCAACAATCAGCAAATTAAACAAAAAAAAAAGAAGAAAAAAAAAAAAAAAATCTAAAAACCGATTTTGAGGTTCATAGGTATGTACTATCGACGAATTTAGTTTTGCGCAGAGTCTCTGGTGACTATTTAGCGACGGCCGGCGCGGCGCGTTGCCTGATAACGCTCTCACTAAGACGCACTCGTTCCTCTGTGAGTGCGTAGTCACTTACACAAACGCACATGAAACACACACAGACATTTTCGCTCATTCACCGTGAGAATTCACGTTTTTGGCTCTTTGGAATGTAAAAAAAGATTCGTAATGACGTATCGCGCATCGATTCCAATTCTCACTTGCCTCTACTTTTTCTTGTGACTAGAGCAAGGAAGAAAGGACATCATTCCAAATCGGCCATTTTCAACCTTGGCCTGATCTTCGAAATATTTACAAAGTTGATCACCTCCCGGGTCTAAAACACTGACGCTTTTTCAAATCGGACGATCACGGAGGGAGGGGGAGGGGAGTCAAAGTAAAATAATTAAACTCGCATATCTTCCTAACGCTTTGCCATAGAGAGATTATAATAGTCTCAAAATCTAGAGAAAACCACCAGTTTTCAAGCGATAATTACTAAATTGGTCCATTTTGGAAATTTCATTCATTACTGCCACGTTGACGTAGTTCAAATGTTCAGTTTTTCACATTTTTAGCTGTGGCGTTGCGTTGAGGGGATTGCACATAAAATTACAAAACTATTTTCTAATGAAAGTAGACCGTTTACGTTTCAAAAAGCACAAGCACCCGGGGAAACAAGCTCAGGGGGAGTTAATATTTTTCAAAGTTGACGCGGTACGCTGAGACCTGGGATGTGTGGAGTCCCCAGACCACCCGCGCCCCTAAACTGACCACTTATCGGGAGGTTTTGCATTTTTATTGGTCAATAGGGGTCATTGTGGTTATTGGTCAGTCTGAATCACTCAAGTAGGGGAGGAAGAGAGAGAAAGATATGTGCTGAGCTCTTTCTCGTTAAACTCTTTGTCATTTTAATGGGTTTTAAGCATCGGTATTTTACTTCTTCTTTAGTAAGGAGGAAACAAATGCTTCACATCGACTGAATTCATGTTGAAATCATACGTAAGAAAGATTGACCACAGTTTACGAGGTCACTGATTTCTCAATTAAGTTTTTTCAGAAGTCTCTCTGGACAAACCTTAATGCTAACCACGAGAAGAAGTGTTCTATTTGGCAGAAAATTTGAAAATGTTTATGCAGGTTCACGCAATTTATGCGTTTTGGAGTCAATTTTTTAATATAATTTTCCATTCTTTTTTCTTCAAACCCAATATATTTTTGCAGAGTATTTTATTTTAGAATATTTATTTAACTTCGAACCTTGAAGTTTTCAGCAGTGCAAATGCTTTCAAATGCATAGAGATTAAAGGCAAATAAGAATTTATTTCATCCGCTCACGAATTGCTTTTTGAATCCCGATCTGCTCGTAAAAAATTTATTGTCACGCCCAGGATTCGAACCCAGGGCCTAATGACTCAGCTGACCATCCTCAAGCTTGCAATCTTTATTCAAATGGTCTAAACCATCTAGAACGGATGAGCACTGGTTATGGAATGGTTATCATCAACAACTCGCTTAATATTTGATTCACATGTTGGAGATCATCGATGACTGATATCCGTTGGTCATCGGAATAATCAGCTAAATCAAAACAAATGCATGTATAACGATGCATTATGTAATACTGATTCCTGGTCACAGATTTAAGCTTGACAACGCTATTTTTCACCGAGTTCTACTGTTCAATTTTTGAATAAGCTGTGATTAAATTTTTTCACTCATTTTTGAGGTTTTGGTGCTTTTTGTAGGTGTTTGTTAAAGTGTTTGTATAGTTTGTATAAGTGCTGTGAGTGTTAGTTTACCTTGTCCTCATGGCTCATTCCACAGAGGCCGGACGAGGGATTATAATCGGTCATTTTTTAAATGGTAAGTTGGATTAATTTGTTTCATCTAAGTTCCGTTATTAAAATTCTTCCATTTTGGCCTCATGTGTTTTGTAACAATTGTTTACATTTTAACAATTGTTTTTTAAACACGCAGTATATCCTTGATTAACGTCTAAAAATGATTATCTCTATTCCAACGTTCCATATCTCCAATTACATTTTATTTTTCAAAAGAAAACCAACCAAAATATCTTTTCAAAATAATTTTGTGTGAATAATTTTCAAAACCTGAAAAAATTTACAGGAAATTTAAATGAAAAATTGTTGTTTTCCTTTTAAAAATGTAACGTGCGGGGAGATTTACAACGCCCTAACTCAGCCATCCATGTGTAAGCAAAACAGGGGTGGACTAGCTCCAAACTTTCCAAAGGGCGGGCCCCGCCGAAAAGAGGATCTGGACCCCCCCACACACACACACACACACATATACACCCTAACGAAGAGAAGAAAGGCTCGAAAGAGGCCTTGAGAGATTTTGCGAGGGTTCTCACTGAGTTTGGAATTGTGCCCTCAAAATCAGCACAAAGGGTTTTGCGGGGACCTTTTACGATTAAATTCAAAGAGTGAAGGTCCCTCTAGCCCTCCAGACCGGTCCACCACTGTGGATATAAGTATCCTGAGAAAAGCTCAGAGTTTTGATGAAGTTAGAGATAGACTCAAACAAAAAGTGAACCTATGATGCGTATTAGACGGTAATTTTCATCCTGAAAATCGACATTTTTCTGGGCAACAAATAAGTTCCATATCAAATTGTTTTATTTTCTATCGTTGGAGCCGCATGACAGTAACTATGGGAGCGAGGGGTATATACGTCATCCCATAAGAGAAATCTTTTATCTCCTGACCTCAAAGACTTATGGAGCTGATTATATGCAATTTTTGTATCATCGAATTTGCTACGACTTCGCCGAAAATAAATCATGAAGTCTCCTCCAATTCCTTTTATTTCCTAATATTCTCGTAACCCTAAAGATGCAACGCGAGATAAACAATCCCCCATTATTGCTATCCCGCGCCAACTTGTTAAGTTTTAAAAGGTAGGAAAAATAAGAAGTTTAATCTTCCGGCAGAAAAAAATACTGACGCAAGTGCAAGACTCGTATGATTTTTTCATACATTTTTTCCTTGATAAATATTTTTTTCATTGGAAATCAAAAACATTGTAAACTGTTAAGTAAACTACAATTCATTTAGAAATGCATTTAAATTTTAAATTGGTTGTCAATTGTATATTTTGTAAGAAATTAAGAATTTTACTCTTCATAACCAATAATGGATGAAATAATGGATTATATATGATCAACATTAAAAGCTCTATGGCTCCTTGAATACTCATATTTGTCCAAGTTACTGTAAGCAATCTACTGAACAAATTTTACAATTTTTTGGCTATATTCGTAGGTTCTGAGCTTTAGATAAGTCAACAGTTTTTTGATTCTCGAATTATACGTAAGATTTTCTCACTGATCCGAAGAAGGCCTCTGCTCTTCGAGGGTTTAGCCGCAAAATGATGGCCAGGGGACGACCCTCTAGTGATTAATATTATGTTGAAGCCACGCCCTCTAGATGGTGGGTATTTTCTCTCTAGGGTTGCAGTGTATAGTTGTAATTACTATTTTCGTCGAAAATTCCATGGGGTTTTAAAGTATATGACCAGAAACTCGACTTTCATCCTTCGTAATTGATTGGGATCCAATCAAATCTTCAGTGACACATAGTCTTTTATATTCCACTAGCCGCTGTGGCTCGCTTCGCTCGCCTCGCGTCTAGCCGGGGGCTCCGCCCCCTGGACCCCCGGTCACTCGCTTCGCGAGTGACTTACGGCT